GGGGCCGTGCCACACGCCGCAGACGCGGCAGCTCCAGCGCAGGGCAGGGAGCTTGGGCAGCGGGAGCCCCGCTCTCCCCGAGGGCCGCTTGCCCGCCCGGGCCGGCCCGCAGCCTGGCTGCGATTCGGGGAGCAGAGCAGACCCCACAGCACCTCCAGTGTGCGGCTGCTTGGGCTCCTCTCCTCCCCACGGCTGTCACGACTCCAAAAACACCACATGGAGCCGAGCCCGGCGGAGAACCCCCGCACCCTGCCACGCACGCAGCTCCTTTCCCACTCCTGTCCAGCACGGGGGACACTTGCGTCTCGTGTCCCTTCCTCSTCCAGCAATCTCGCCCTCCTCATGCTGCCTCAGGGCTCCTGCCGGCTCGACCACTGCCACTCAAGGGGATCCTGGCTCAGCTGAAGGCACCACCGCGCCGGAGCTGTCGCCTACGGTAKCAGATGCAAGATGGAAAGGTGCAGAAGATGTTTAAACTAGTTAAAGAGGTTAAAGCCACTTAAGGGATTTGGACCTGAAGGAAACCGAGCCTCTAAATCTCCTTGGTGGGACTTGGGGAAAAAATAAAAAACAGCTTGTAAGTTTATAAAGCATTTAAAAATGTATTTCTAGCATTTTGCTGTTGCTGTTCCTGAAGTTATTCTGGATTTGAGGTGAGGGGATGCTGGGACGAAGGCTGATGTGGCCCTGTCCGCACTGCCRCCCTGGTGAGGATGAGGACACATCATCAGAGCTGCGGGGACCGATGACAAGGGAAGCACCTGGGTTAATGGCACGAAGAGAGGGCAGGCGGAGCAGGGCTGAGAGCAAGGGGCRAAATGGGAGCCCTGAGTGTGGGACAACTGTGTGGAGCAGACACCGAAACAGGACAAGGACCGTAGGGCTGCRTGTAGGCACCATGTCTGGGTGGGAAAGAGGAAGGAGAAGCTCCAAGGACCTCTGCTTAGCTCAAGCCATGGCCCTGCGGATCTCCCTTGCCCAAGTGGGGAGGCTGGGGGAGAGGTCAGCTAAGGCAAGCAGGACTCGGAGAGAAGAGCTTGGCCCAGGGCAAGACGGGAGCAAGGAAGGGTAGGGAGAAGGAGTCGGGCTGGGAGAGGAACCCCCAGAACCCCCCGTCTGCTTGGACATGCCCCGCAGCAGGACCCAGAGCGAGACGCCAGGTCTGTGGCCATGAGCCCCGGTGACAAAGGGCCTCGTGTGCGACCAGGCTGACCCGCCGGGGAGGCAGCGGCCTCCACGTGGACTCCAGCAGCTCAAGCAGCAGCACGCGCTCACCGGCCTCCTCCCGCTTTGGGCCTCCTGCTCCCACCCTGGGCCGTGCTCCTGGTCTCGGCAGAGCTGCCCGCACGCTCCACCTGGGACAGCCCACCCGGGCACGAGCGAGGGCCGCCCTTCCCTGGCTCGGCAGGGTCCCGCAGGCGCAGGGCCGCGAGCCAGCCACCAAAATCCCTTGCTTAGCTCAGCTTCACCCCACATTAAACACTAAGTGGCGTTAATCCGACGTTAGGTGATACTTTGGCTGACTTTCCTTATGCCTTGGTCCCCTATTAGCAATAATATCCCYTGATGGCCCAGAGAAGAGATCCTAGGATGTGGGGGAGCTACATGATCTCTCGAAATGCATCCTTTTCCAYGACAGAAAGTGGCATTTTGAGTTGCTGTTCATTTTTGGCAGGATTTGCCTCCTTTCACTTAGCCTTAATGCATAACCCAAGTGCTACAGGAAGCTCCCGTCTCTCTGATGAGGAAGGAGGCATCTCCTGGCCTCGCACCTTGGCCAGGACAACCCAAGCCCACAGCCCTGGCAGGCGCCCGGAGCCCGAGCCAAGACCGGGCCCCCTTGGCCAACGTGCCCCAACGAGCCGGGCACCAGCCAAGCCTCCGCCTGCGGCTGGGTGAAGAAACACCCTTGGGAAACCCAACGCCCAAGGGAACATCAGGAGGTCACACAGGCAACGGTGGCGTTTCTGCCCCCAGGGCTCGCCCCTGGCACGYGAGCAGCCCTCCCTGGGGTCTGCAATGCAGCATGGAGCAGGACGGCACTAAGTGCCACTCTGCAGGGCAGCGCCCGCGGCCGAGCGCGCCCGAGCGAGGATCACGCGCCTCGCGGGCCACGACGCCCCGGCAGCTGCGGGGCTGGCGCCAGCCACGCCGGCACTGCGGGTGTGCTGCGCGGCTCATTCACACTCGTGCTCAAGGAGATGCTAACTGATATTACAGCAATGCACCAAAGGGAGCAAACGCACTGCTTCACAGCCGGGACAACACATGCACAAGCCAGCTGTCCGTCCACACGCGTCTCCCCGGGCACACGAGGCCACGAATGCCAACCCCTCTGTGGCTCTGGCACAGACACACACGCTGAGGGTGAATGCATTTAATGCATTTAAGCTCCTGCTGAAGCACCAGCCCAACAGCTGCGCCTGGCAGAAGGTCCCGGTCTGTCCCAGTGTGTCCCCAGCACCGCCACACGCGGTGGCATGGGGGGACAGGCCTGGCCTGGTCCCCCGCAGTGGCCTGGACCCTTGTATTTCAGCCTCACTCAAAGTAGGGCAGCGAAGCGCATTGCTGGGGCAGGCCGACTGCGTCTCTTAGCATCCAAATACTCTTCATGCGTCCCTAAAACGGGGGTCTGTGTGTCCTCCGCCTTGCCAAGTCCCTGCAAACYCTCCCAGAGCGGAGGCTCGCGGCGGGCACGGCCACTGCGAGGCTCGACAGCCTCCCCACCGCAGAGCAGGGACCTCTCGGCACTATGGGTGCCACCACCCACTGCCCCCAGCACCCAGCGGGTGCCCCGTGGGGACCCTCCGTGTCCCAGCCCGGKGCACCCTGAGGCGGGAGCCGCCTGCAGCAGCGCAGGGCAGGGGGCTGCAAGGCTCCAGAGCCCCTTGCCACGCCGCTGTTGTGCCGGATCAGGGCACCGCAGGAGTGCTCTGCGCCCCAGGGAGGAGGCCGAGCAGGCGCCGGAGCGCGTGGCTCCCGCCATGGATCCCACGGGATTAAGGGGTTTGCAGAGCTCCTTGGAGCTCGGGCAAACGGTGCTGGGCCCCTGCTCCCCCGCAGCACGGTGCAGGACGCCCCCAGGCCAAGGCGAGCCCCGGTCCCCGGTGCGCCCCGCGCCCGCCGGCACTCACCCGAGCGCCAGCTCTGCGAGAGCCGGTGGTGCAGGCTGCGCCCCGCGCTCTTGGCCACCAGCTGCGCCAGGTCCTCGAAGTTGAGGATGAACATGATGACGACGCCTTCCTCGTTCTTCACCGGCACCACGTCCACCAGGCAGCGGAAGCAGGAGGCTGCGCGGAGCAGAGACAGGGCTCAGGGGCTGCCGGTCCCTGCCGCCCCCCGGCTGCACTCCCCAGCTTTGACCCAAGGGGAGCTGTTTAAGCGTCTGGGTGCAATTCCTCCCTGTGGGAAGGGAGCACTGGGAAAGCCTGAGCCCTTGGGAGGGTTGGCTCTCTGCATAATACTCACTAGGAATTGCATCTTGATTTATTTACTATTATTTCTTTTTTTTTTTTTTTTCATTTCTATTCGTGCATTTCAGCCTTGCAACAGAAGTGTTACCTCCCTAAGGGGTTGTTTGCAACCGAGCTGATTGTTGTGCCGTCATGAGGTAGGTGCGGGGTCTGATTTTGGCTGCCTCCTGCACCCGCATCCCAACCCCCAGCCTGGCCCTGGGTCCAAAACACTTTTGCATGAAGAGACGCCATCCACCATCCTCCCAGAAGTGCTGGCCTTTCCCCTTCTCGTTTTTGGGATGATGGGGAGGCAGGAAAACTCATGCAAAGGAAAAGAGCCGCTTTGCAGGGGAATTCTTGCCCAGGAGGCATCCCTTATCTCGYGCAGCCGAGGGCAGCGGGGGCCGGGGCGAAGGGCGCTGCCGGCTGCTCCGGGCGCTGTTTCCAAGAGGCCGGGGCCTCCCGTAATCAGGAGCAGATGGCCGGCAGCGGGGAACTTCAAAATCCGCCGTGACGTCAGCGGGGCGCGCGCACGCCCGCCCGGGCAGGACATGGATACGGGCAAATCCGGTTAAAGAGCCAGGCGGCCGGGATTATTCCCCGCTTGCTTCATTTCATCCTTGTTCACCGCACGGGGAGGAAATCCACTTAAAAGCATCGGCGGGAGGAGGCGCGTGGGGATGCGCCCGGGATAAAGCCCTCTGGGAGGGGAGCCTGGGCGCTCCGGCGCTGCCGTGGGTGCCACACGGGGAAGAAACGAGGCCCCTTCTCCGCCCTCCTCCGTGCCTCTTGTCCCGGGGTCCCTGCAGCGGGTTCAGGGCTCCCTGTGGAGGTGGGACCGGCTGCTGGGAGCCGGATGGTGGTGGGACGCGTGGCAGGGGAAGGGTTAACGGCAGCCCCCAGCTGGGCCGGGTTGCGGCCAGTCCGAAGGGATACAGGGAGCAGCTGGGAAGCGGCCTGGCCTTGGAGGGAGCCGGTGCCTGGGGTGATCCCTGCCGGGTGGGATGTGTGGGGCGCTCCCGGGGCCGGGTTTGGCTGCCGACATGTCCTAGGGGTCCAAGGCAGCCCTGGAAGGGACCCCGGGCCACACGTYGTCCCTCTCTCGCTCCCTGACGGCCCCGTCCACGAGGCTGCCTCTTCCCCTCAGCTGTTCAGCTCCGCTGACCCCATCCATCCAATGCCCTCCAGCTTCTGGAGGGTCTCTCGTGTGAACATCCCGGGATGTTCAGGCCCTGGCAGCGACTTGGGGCGCAGGGGAGCAGCTGGGGGAYGTGGTGGCCTCTGCTTGTCCCCGGGGCTGGTGGAGCTGCTGCAGGAATCAGGAATCCACTGGGTGCGCGGTGCCTGGGCTCCCTCCTGCTCTCCCCTGGGATGCTGCCCGCCTGGCCGCAGCCTGGCTCTCCTGGGATGGATTTTCCCTTCCCGGGCTCGGGTAGCATCCTGAAGCGCCATCCAGTGATGGATTTTCCCTCCGTTCCCGCCCAGGAATGGCAGCCAGGGCTGGCCCGACATGTGTGTGGCCATCTGGGATGTCCGGGGCCACCTTGTCCCCTGACCTTGATAAAAGCGAGTGTTTAATAACATTAAAAAGCGCCCGGTGGGCGGCCCTGCCCTCGCCAGACCTCTTATCCCAGCAGCTAATGCCTCTGTATCATCAACATCAAACTAATCAAGGGGACACGGGGGTTTCCATGAGCAGGACAAAAGCCACTATTGTTATGAATATTAAAAAAGCCCCAACAAGGTATTAATCTGCCCTGGGAGCTCTTCCCGAGCCCGCCCTCCCCCAGGCAGGGAATTTAATCTGCAGAGTCTCATGGCAGAGCGGCTAAATCTGGGGGCTGTTACCTAAGGGACTGGGGCAGGGGGCTGCCAAGGGCACGGGGGGGCGGGGGGATGCCGGGTATGTGGTCCTGGTGGGCGCGGAGCCCCTGTGCCGGGATCCCAGGGGATGCGCGGGAAGGGCAAGCGCGGGAATCGCTCCTGGATGTGCTAGAAACTTGTCCCTGGGATCCTGGAATGCAGGATCCCGTGGATGCACCTTTAGCRCTGTGAGATCCAGAGCCAGGACACCACGGTGGAATCTTTCCCGCACGGAAAGTCTTGGATCTGCGGGATGCAGAGCGGGYCCCGCCACTCCYGCTGCACCCCCAGYGCTCCCATGACCTTATTAAGTAACRGAGCTGGATGTAAGCCCTGTGCTAGTGACTAACATCAGGAATTCTGCTGCGAGCTGGGAGCTCGTCCCTCACGAGTGATAGGGAAGGGAAAAAAGCAGGAGCGTCCAGGGATGCGAGGGGAGTGAAGACCCCTATGTGGCCCGGGGTGCTTGGAGGCACCGAGAGATGCATGTCCATCCTCAAGAGGGGTGCGAGGACGTGGGGAGCAGCACTCGGCTCCAGGAGATGTGTGTCCATCCTCAAGAGGGGTGTGAGGACACGGGGAGCAGCGCTCGGCTCTGCAGCAAGCTGCGGCCGCGCAGGATTTGGGGGAAGAGCCTCCTCGTGAGCATTGCTTGCAGGGAGGGGGCAACGTTTATGGGTCCTGACTCGGTGCCCCCTTCCCGAGTCTCAGCCCTGCTCTCTTCAGCCCAACCTTTTCAAGCAAATCCGACTGCCCCAGCTCAGCTTAAAGCCCTCAGGTTTTTATAAAAGTCGAGTCTGGGGGTGCTGCTGTCTGGCCACGGATCCCCTGACACCGAGGAGGCYGCTCGGCCCTGCACCGGCTTGGCCACCCCAGTGGCGCGGGCGCTGCTGGTGGCCCCCTGGGCCACGTTATCCCTTGGACCGAGTTGTCCCTGTCCCGGATGCCTCCCCTGACCRCGGGTGGTGGGATACGCCTGGGGATGCACCTGGGGCTGGGCACACCATGCGGTGCCATATGGGACCCAGACTCCACCAGTGTTCCCAGTCCCCCTGTGACCCTCACTCCTCCTTCCGTTTCCCACCAGGATGGGGTTGGAATTCTGGATTAAAGCACCAGTGCAACGAGTTTGCTGGGCCAATCCAAGCACTAACCCCCGTCCCTAGGGATGGCACACGAGCTGTGTCTGCCTTGGGAGCCGACTCCCGCTACTCACAGGCACCAAAYGGGCGCAGATTTAAATGAAACGGTGTCTGCTGCAGGGCTGGGACACGCGGCCGTGGCTGGCGCCCCCGCGCCGGTGCCTGTGGACGGAGCTGCCTCCAGTGCCCCAACCCATAATTAACCCCGCGGGCGGGCCCAGCTGTCGAGCATCTTGTAAGGAAATTAACTTTGGCCTGATCCCTCGGCTTGGGAAGGGGGGGATCAGGGCCCACGAGCTGCAGCTGCGCTCCAGGCTGCGCCCGGCTGGCGGCCGCCCTGCCCCGGGGCTTTGTTTATTGGCCCCGGTTCAGGGCGCTGTTTTGGGCTCCCCGGAGTGCTGGGTGGCCCTACGGAGTCACGCACACGGTGGGGGGGAACGTGGAGGGAACGGGATGACGGCTGGGACGCCCGGTGGGATGTGGCTGGGTCTCCATCCRAGGAAACCCCTGGGGCTCCTTTTAGCGTGAGGGATAAACCAGGTAAATGACACCCTGGAGTTACTCCAGCTCGGCCTCCCTGGACCGTWTGAGGGCCCTGTTGGTCCCCAGGGTGCCATTTGTTACATCCCACCCCCCTTTGCAAGTGCCGGGGTCCTCCTTGCCCTAGCGGGACAGAGCAGGAAGCGGGAGAGGGACCCTGGGCTCCAGCTCCGGACCCCGGCCGTTCCTGGCAGAGATGCTTTCCCTGAGGACATGCCGTCCGCTCAAGCATCGGACCCTTCCCACCAGGGCCACCCATGGGTGCCCCTTCCGGCCAGAGCTCCCGATCCCTCCGGCGGCTCCCGGGCTCTGCTGGAAGCGGTCGGGAGGCTCCAGCGGGCAGCTTCCCGGCGGCGTTTCGTCTCCGGCACACCGCAAAAGCGAGGGAACAACCGCGCACGCTGCGGCGCCGGGAATACCGCAGTAATAAACAGCAGGTCGGGGCTGGAGATTGGTGACGCCGCTATGAAAAGGAGGCCAGGAAGGTTCGGAGCCTCCGTGGTCTAATTAAGCGGCAGCTCCCTGTAATGCGAAGGCCTTTTCTTTGCCGATAAGACCCATTTATAATGGGCTGAGCGGTCGCAGGCTGAGTGCTGGGGGGAGACAATTGGAAAGCATATTGCTAGTGGGGCTGGGTTTTAAAAATAGACATGAAGGGCTTTCTTCTAGGCTTTTTTTTTTTTTTTTTTWAWWMMAAAAAAWWAARRAAARGRAAAAAAAAAAAAGCAAGCAGCTCCAAGCTGCACTGAGCTGTTCCTGGGGCCTCGGGGAAGAGCGGGGCTCCGAGGGGAGGAAGGAGCATCCTGCAATCCAGCAATCCAGGAACTGCTGCTGCCCAAGGACACATGAGGACGCRGGTCCTGCTCCCTTTGCAATCCAGACATCCTCCTGCTCCAGCTCCCGCCGAGCCGGGCTCCAGGACGGTCATGGAGAGGGATGGGAATGGGATCCCGGTGGCCCCGAAGCCCCCAGCCACGCGGCCGGGGAGGTCTCCCTGTGCAGAGGCCGAGTGTGGCCGCGAGCCGGGTTCGGGTGCAGCGCGTGTCCTCGTCTCGCGCCTCCCCAGCGCCGCTGGGCCCCGTCCAGCTGCTCCTCGGGGCCGAGTGGCCGGAGGATGACGCTGCATCCCGGCTCCTACCGGCTCACCCGTTGAGTGCCGCGTTGCCCYGGCCGGGACGGCCCGGCTCGCGCCCGGGCAGAGGGGATCTGGGTTAACGCGGKGGGTTAACGCCCAGCACTACAGCCCGGGACACACAGAGCAGCACCTGGACACCAGCCCGGGAGATAGGGAGCCGGGAGCGAGGCCAGGACACCTGGGCCCCAGCCCCGGAGATAGGCTGCTGGCCGGGAGCCAGCCCTGGTGCCTTTTCTCTCCTTTCGTTTCCAACTGTTTTTCTTGCATCTTTTCCTCCCTGTGCCCTGCCGGGTTTAGCCTGGCCGAGTTCCCTGTCCGTTGGATCTAAAGCAATGAGGAGGCGTCGCAGGTTCAAAATACAAAATACATAATATATATTTTTGTCCTCTAGTGAGTACTTCATCTACCGGGTTCGCCCCATGTCTGGTGCTGGTGGGAGCCCTGGATGCTGCTGCTTTGCAGCATCAGGCACTAAATATTTATTTAGCTTCCTGCAGTATTAGAACTAATCACTGGTATTTTCTATCAAAGCTTCATTTTCATCTTAACATAATTCCATCTGTGCACGCACAAGCCACATCCTGCCTGATGGAAACTCAGCGCGGCTGCTGGCAGCCACCTGGCCAGCGCCGGAGCGCCACGAGGGAGCCCGGAGCTGCCTCCTTGCTCCTATGGGATGACCTAACCCAGTATGAGGAGCCTGGTACTGGATGGACCGGGCTTGCTCAGCGCTGCCGACTTGCAGCTAGCACGGTTGGGCCCCTCTAATTCAAGGGAGCAGCTCTCAGCTGCTTGGCGAGGCTTCCCCAGGCAGGCGAGCGATGGGACGTGKCTCATGCTGAAGGTGACCAGTAGAGCCACGCCTGAACCCAAGCACCTCTGCAGACCTCCTGCATGAGCTTTGCTCATGGTTATGGACCCCTTGGATAAGCCTGATTTGTGTCCAGGGGCAGGGGCTGTCAACAAGCCAAAGACTCATGAAGGGGCCAATTCCCAAGTGGTCCCTCAACACTTTCCGTTGCATGAGAGCTCCCGCATAACCTGATGAGTGCAGAGACGGGTCCACCCAGGAGGAGCCTCTGAGTGTTGACCCTGCTCCCACCACCCTCCATCCAAACCCCAGCACCCGGAGTGAAACCATGACAYAGCAGTGGCATCGGGTCCCCATCCAGCAGTGGCTTTGCATCCAGCAAATGCCCATGGAGGGGCAGGATGCACGACCACAGCCCCCCACCAGCTCACCCTGCTCCRAGTGACCGAGCCGCAGCCCTTACTGTCTTTGCGGTAGTAGAGGATCTCCAGCTTGCACTCCTCGGAGCCCAGCAAGGCCTGCGTGAGCTGCGCGATGGAGTTCTTGGTGGTGTCGGGCCCCGTGAGGAAGTCGCAGGTGCATGGCCGCTGCATCACCTCCACCCGCGAGTAGCCGAACATCTCGCAGAAGCCGTCGTTGCAGTAGATGATGGCACAGTTCTCCATCTGCGCATTGGCGATGAGGAACTTGCGATCTACAGGGGTGCAGCAGAAGGGAGGTTTAGGAGGCGGGGTGMGCTCCTGGGGACAGTGGGGCAGCCCCAGCAGCCCCATGGTGTCACCTGTGATAGGACACTGTAAGGGGGACGTCATGATCTTGGTGGTGGTTCAAGGACTAGCCTTGGTTCTCAGTCTCTGGAGGGGAGCCCAAGTTGGGTCCTCCGCACCACGGAGCTCATTTCAGTTGGGAATGAGGGGCGGAAATTCTCTCAATTTCACCAGAATCAGTGTCTGGCAACAGGAGAAACCTGAGCGAGGGTCCCACTGTGCAGATGGCCCTGTTCTCTAGATGCCACCTGAGCCCTGGGAAGGGCCACCATGGYGTGGTAGATGACTGAGAAGGCAGGGTGGGAAGGGGTGAGTGCAGAGAGCCTGGAGGGCTCTGGGATCCTGCTTGCAGATGTGGATTCACTGCTGTTTAGTAGGAGGGAACTCATCTGCAGACTTTCCCTGAAAAGCCCTTCTGGGAGAGGGAAGAGGTCCGGAGCCCCTGTCCTTTCCTCGGGGCACTTATCAGGGACCTAAGTTACCTTGGAGACCTTCTACCCTTGGTCAAATTTGACTGAAAGAGGTAAGAGCAGACAGCGCTTGGTTTCCATGGGAAGCCAGGCTAAAACCCATCAAGCTAATGATCCTCCTCCTATTTCTTCACAGGATAATTGTGCCTTGGGGCTGACGCTGGAAGCAGGACCTGGCTGGTCTTGGTGGCACATGTGCCCACATAAGTGCAAAAGAGACAAGAGGGGAAACTGAGGCAGGGAGCGACGCCCTTGTCCTGTCGTGTGCATTATTTTTAAGAAATAACAGAGCCTGCAGGATCCTGTGCCCAGGCTGGGGATGATCAATTCTTGGGCAGCTTCGGCTGGGCTCTTTGTTGGGAAGCTGYGAGGCCAAGGCCAACGGCGCCGCGACGGGCTCCCCTGCTCCATGAGGAGCAGAGACAGAGGATGTGGGGAAGGACCCGCCTGCAACCTGCAGCTCTGCAGAGCAAGGGCTCTGTTCCCAGCTGGAGTGGCCGGAATCGGCACTGGAGCACGCACGGCATCTCCTGCCTTGGGTATAATCTAGCCGGTTGCAGAGCACGGTGCCCGGGTGCAGGCACAATGGGGCAGCGGCTGCCCGGAACCCTCTGCCTCTCCCGGGACTTGGCATCTGCTCTGGGCTGCAGCCAGGGGCAGGGCAAAGCTGCGAGGGTCCATTTGGAAGCTGCCTCYGAGCACAGACCCCAATTAATCTCCTGGATTACCCAGGAATGGCATCTGCAGCGCGTTCGTGCCAGAGCCCCGGCCGCGCCGGGGCCGAGCGCTGGCCTCGCAAGGACTCCAGAAGCCTCCTGCTCCTCCCGGCCACGGCACACACCAGCAGGCTCCAGGGATGGATTCCCGGATCCCCCTCTCCCTAGCGTCCTCCTGAGTCCCTGCGGCTGTCGGCCCTGGAGGAGCTTCTCCCAGTACAACCAGTGCTCCCAGGCTCTGCAGCACTGAGCGGGGGAGGCAGAAACCCTCTGGGGGCAGCACGGGGGGCTGCGGCACCAGCCTGTGCCTGCTTGGTGACATGTCCAACATCAGGGGAGGAAATCCACCGTGCTGAGAGCCAGGGAGAAATGGCCAAGCTGCAGTGGGCCAAACCAATGCTCGCCACTGCGCCAGGGCGGCTTTGAGGGGACTCCCCTCCCGCACACCTCGCTCTTCCCTTTGCCAAGCAGGASGGAAAGGGATTTTCCCAAAGGAAGAGGGGCAGAAAAACAAGCAAAACATCACGTTGAAGCCTTTCCAAATGYCCCTCCTCTGCCGGCTTCACTTTGCCCACATGGCCCTGCCAGCTGGAAGAGGGCGCGCAGGAGATGCCCCTCCGCCAAAGCCGCTCCTTGGAGGATGCCCTTGCCATCCGCGATGGAAATGTGGCACCGCCAGCCCCAGCACGATGGGGCAGGGACCCAACGCAGCACGGTGGCATTCACCGCAGTTCCACCGCCCCGGGGCTGGCTACGCTGATCCAAAGAGATGTGACCAAGACCATGACCAAGAGAGAATTCCTTGTGGGAGGGTTTGCCCCATTGTCGCTTTCTGCACCCACCCCCCTTGCAGATTTGCCCCTACCCTGCAGTATCCGGGGCTCAGGGTGCAGCCATGGGGAGCTGAGGTTGCATGAGCACAAAGCTCCAGGGAGAAACACGGGGCTGGGGGCTCCAAAGGAGGGGGGGCACTTGCAGGGCGCCAGTTGCACCCCCGGGAGCTGCAGGACGGCAGCAGCGCCTGCAAGCGGGGGYGGGAGCAGCATCTGGGSCAGCACCTGTTGGGTGGCCAGGCTGCGGCGGGGGTGCGGGGGCCCTTTGGGCGGGCGGCCGCCTGGCCCGTGTCCGTCACGGCCCCCAGGCCCGCGCGGGGAGCGGGCAGGGAGGCGCGGGCGYGGGGGGAGGCTCTGCCGCCTGCCCCTGCTGCTCCCCAGACGCCGCTTCCCCTGGAGACTGATAGGAACCAGGGACAGTTTTTCTCACTTCCCGTTCCCGGGGTCACGTCGCTCACTGCCAGATCCGCCCGGGCCGTTCGCCCGCCCGGCAAACTTGGAGACAAACCAGGAGCTTGGGGAGGGGGACGTGCAGCCYCCTGCACCCCTCCTCCACTCCCCAGGGCACAGCAGACAGGGGGACCCTGTCCCCCCACTCCCTTCCTGATGTCCCCAGTCACACAAGGACAATCCGAGCCCCGTGGGGTGCAGCGAAAGCTCGAGCTGAGGCAGAGCCGCCGCCGCGGCCGCCCCGCAGCCCCCARGCAGCCGCCCGCGAACCCCCCAGCTCCCCGAGGCACGCAAACTCTTTGCTATATTTGACACTAAAACCAGCCAAAAAATTCATATAAAGGGATTACTTGGAGCAACAGCAAATGGCAACGTCTCACCGGGGACGGCTGCCTCGGCGCGGAGTTGAAGGCAAATAGGCAGAGCGCCCGTCTGCGCTGGCGGGCGCCCGTCTCCCACCCGCGCTGCCGCCCTGGGACTTCCCTGTCCCTGCGCCCCCAGGGACCCTCTGCCAGTGCTGGGGGGAGGGAGGTGGAATCGGGCGGGGGAGGCTGCCTGGGGCTGGGGTCTCGCAGCCCAGAGCTGGACAAGGGGGACCCGAGGGGCAGGGACAGCTTGTCCCTTGCAGCTCCTGCTCCATAAACACCGTCGGGGACCTCGCCTGGCTGTCGCCCACCCCTCTGCCCCCACACAGGGGTGGTAGAGGCACCTTGTTCTCCCCGTCCCAACACCTGCGCCCGCCCTGCCGCCCCCCCGGGGAGTTTGGGGAGCGCCCGGAGCTCGGTACTCACTTTGCCCTTCAAATTTGCGGATGATGGTGTCCAGGTAGGTGTTCTGGGGGGCCACATGGCCCCGGCGCACGGGCATCGCGCCCGCCCCACCGGCGGCGGGGGCGGCGAGCGCGGCCCCGGCGCCGCTCCGCGCCCGGCCCCGCTCCGCCTCGGCCCGCCGCCCGCCGCGCTCTGGAGCGGCCGGGCCGGGGCTCCCGCGCCGCCGGAAGGGGGAACCCCTCGGCCCTCCCCGCCGCGCCCGGCTCCGCGCGGGGGCGGCCGCGAGGATGAGGAGGGAAGGCGGGGGGGAGGAAGGGGAAGAGGGAAGGCCCCACTTGAAGGGGGCGGGGGGGCTGGTAGAATAAAATAATAATAGTAGAAATGCCCAAAGTGCTTAGTCACCGCTGCCCCGCTCCGCCGGAGGCTCCGGGGCAGAGCTGTCAACAGCAACAGCTGCGAGCCGCGAGCTGGCGGCCCCCCCGAGCCCCCCCGGGCGGGACGGCCCCGCGGGGCAGCGCGATCGCCGTCCTGGGGGCGCCGCGGCGGGGAGAGGGGCGTGGGGGGCGCTGCGGAGGGGGGTCCCCGGGGTGCTAGGGCAAGGGGTGCTGGGGGAGCGAGGAGATGGGGGCTGAGGGATGGAGTGGGGGTGTTGGGGGTGCCGGGGGCTGAGTGATGAGTGGGGGCTCTGGGAGAGGTGGGACACTGGGGTGATGGAGGGGGGGCACTGGGAGAGGTTCTGGGAGAAATGGGGGGGTGCTGGGGGTGCAGGGCGCTGGAGGAAGAAGGGGTGTTGCAATGGGGGGTGTAAGGGGAGGAGTGTTGCAGTTGAAGGGAGCACTGGGCACTCTGGGGGTGCAGGGGTGGTGGAGAAGGTGCAGTGTGAAGGTGGGGCTCGGGTGCAAGGGGACGCGGGGAGGGGGGCGGTGGTAGGGACTGGGATGCAGGGGTGGCAGGGGGGTGCTGGGGGTGCGGAGGAGGGAGTGCGGGAGGTGCAGCGGGGGGGATGAGGGGTTCAAGGGCGCAGGGGGTAGAGGAGGGGGCGCAGGGGGCAGAGGTGCAGGGGAGAAGCGGCAGAGATGACGGGGCAGTGCAGGGGGGAGAGGAGCAGGCGATGGATCGTCGTGGGGTGCGGGAGTGCAGAGGTCAGAGGAAGGATTGGTGCTGGGTGCAGGCTGCGGGCTGCAGGGCGGGTGCCGGACTGTCAGGATGCAGGGGGGCCCGGGGCGGGGGCTGCGGGGGGCATGGAGGCTGTCGGTGCTGGGGGCTGCCGAGGCTTGGGGGTGCTGGTGGGTGGAGGGGGCTGGTACTAGAGGGTGCCGGGCTGGGGGTGTCGGGTCTGGAGATGCCGAGCTGGGGGCGCCGTTGTTGGGGATGCCGGACCTCGGGGGTACCGGATTGGTGGTACCGGGCTGGGGTGCCGGCCCGGTGGTACCGGCCTGGCGGTACCAGTCCGGCGGTACCGGATTGGTGGTATCGG